AAGCTTATTGCATATCGCATATTTGCTTATTGCGTGCTCTCAACTTAGTGTTCTAGATGCACTTCCACAGTTATTAATTGAGAGCTTTCGATGCCTGTACCATTTTTGCATTGGTATAATTGTTTGGCAAGTCCAATCATACTTCTATGCCCAGGGAAGTCGAGAAATTTTCCAACCCGAAAAATTCCTAGACCGGACCGGGAATTGAACCCAGCCACCTCCAGCATGTTTACCACCCCGAAAATATTTTTTTTTCGGTACGTTTTAATTTTTCAAAAATCCAAGAAAATTCGTTTTTTGCTTTAATTTTTGAGAAAACTTACCTGTAGGGATATGTTATTTATCTGCTTTCTGAAGACTGCTTTGTAGCAGTACCTTTACCGACTGAGCTAAGGGAGGTCCCAAAAAAATAGTTCAAATGCTTTAATTTCCGTTAAACATATTACTAACGAATTGACTCTTGAATCCTCACTACTTGTTTTAAAAATATAAAATTTGAAATACATTCATTGTTGTTAAAATTATTTAGAATATACTTTAAAAAACTATCATTTTTACCCCGTTTTACGGTACATGTAAAATCTAGAGTAATGAGTTTTCTGGAATAAGATGTAATATTGCATTTTTTAACATTAATATCTAGCGGACTTTTAACACACCAATTGTAGAAAATATCAATTTCATCTTGAATATGTAGCAAATCAGAATTGTTAGAGATGTCCATGTACAGTTTTATATCTTCAGCATATATGAGCACATTTAGGCGGTTTAATACAAACTTCACGTCATCTACAAATAAAATAAATAATAAATGACTTAAATGAGATCCCCGTGGAACTCCCGAGGTAACATTAACTGGCGAGGACGTTTTTCCTTTAAAGCGGACCATCTGTGTTCTTTCTGTCAAGTATGATCTAATCCGTTTTAAAAGTGTACTTGTCATACCCTAAGTGGAAGGGGAAACAATAGGGGGACTTTTATCATCAATTTTCTGTCAAATGCGAACCAGCGGCTGATTGGTCGGGTGAACGTATCGAAACTCGGGTATTTTTACATCAGGGAATATATTTTCTTGTATTTTGACAGTTGACTGCGTCACCTATAATGAAATAGTTTTTGTCGTTTCCGCGAGAGAAAAAGAACACGTCACAGACAAAAAGAAACCAGTTGTCTCCTCTTCCTCTTAGGTCATACCTAAACGTTTTAATTCAAAAGTACCTAGTAAGGGATTATCTACTCTGTCAGTGTATAAAGTTTCAACGGTATTACCTCTACCCATTGCTTCAATAGAAAAATTTACAAATTTCAAAAGATTAGCAGACGTTAACCGATCTTTCATAAAACCATGCTGATTATTTAAAATACGATGCGACCTGGTTAATTATTTTCTGTTTAACAATTGCTTCAAACATTTTAGGAATTCATGTAATAATTGCAAAACCACTATAATGTTTAATGCCTGACCATTTTTCAGATTCAATATTGAGACTAAAAATGATTTCTACAATTTTTTTTGGTAAATCACCTGCCACTAGAGATAAATTATAAAGCCAAAACAATGGTTTAACAAAACTAGTTGCTAATGTTTTCAATAAAAATTGGAGGTATTTCATCAGGGTCAGGTCTTCCAAAAGGAGGAAAATCTATTCAAATCTCTAATAAGGAAGAACGGGATGATCACTTAAGGGGGTTAAGATTTCGATAAGTCTTTAGTGGGAATGACACTGATGAAGACTGCATATTGTAGTCGAAATATGTATTTGTCATGGACACCAAAATGAATTAAGTGAAATTAAATGGAAGATAACCTTTTTTGCTGCTTTAATTTTTTCGTTCGCAAAGTTAAAGAACGTTTTGTGATATCATATTTTATAGTGTTCTCTACATACACTTGAATTGTTATTTTCATATGCTGACGATATGTACTCTGCAAATATCAACGTAATTTTCTTAATTTAATAAAGTTCCAAGCTTTTTAAACGTCGTGTGTGCTTTTTTTCCTGTTTTTAATATTTATTATTTCTTGTGTATACCACACAAGATATTTGGTGCTGCTCACTATTCTATTTAGTCTTTTAGGAACAAATACTTCAATGATAATGTATAAGCTTTTATAAAATATATCAACAGCCTTATCCATGTAGTTTTCATCTTTTGAAAAGTTTTGCCAATTTATGTTATTCAGTCTGCTGTGAATTTCAGCATTTTTAAAATAATAATCTAATTCAAAATCAACAACGCTTGGGTGTGCCCTATGCGAGTCTGTGAACACTGAGTATTCAATAGCCGTATGAAATTTTTCATTCATCCATAATGGATATGCTGCTTTTACAATACAAAGATCTTCTGTACAATTAGAAAACATAGAATCCAAATAGGAATTGAGCTGGTTACGAACATGGTTTATTTGATGAAACCCTGGTTTTATCAAAGATGAATTGTAAAGTATTGTTTACACCTATAATTGTATAAAATTACCTGTTTTCTTGATAAAATCTCCATAAATATGAATTTTAATCCTAGGACCTTCTCTTTGAATTTTCAGTTCTGCAGCAGTGAAAAACTTTTTGGTTTTTTGGGCAAAGTGTGGAGGACTTGTTTGAACATATTTAGATAGAGCTGGAATTATGGCGTAACAGCTTTTGAAACAATGACTTTTCTCGATGATTTCTAGAAAGTCAAGGCTCTCCCACGCAAATCTACATCCCCATTGAGTAGGAGAAGACTTCCCCTACCCGATGGTTATATTTTTTTTGCGTGGGCGTCCCTTGAATTGCTAGAAAACATCGAGAGAAGTAATTGTTTACAAAAGTGGTTACACCCTTATTCCAGCTCTATATAGAATATCTTAGCATTTTTCTATATAACACTCTCCCAAACTTTTTGTTAATTCTTGAAAATTCTTATGAATTCTATTTGGAATTCATTTCAAACTATCTTCAAACGAGCTTAAAATTCTGCTTGGAATCTTTAGGCAATATGAAAATTAGGTTCCACTAGAATTATTATCCATATTTATTTGTTACTCTCCTCATAATTTCTCGGTGCATAGGCTGATGTGTATGTTATATATATATTTAACGTGACGTGCTTGTGTATGCATATGCGATGCAATACTCCTTTTAGGATTTACTATATTTGTCACCCACATTACGCTTCCCATTCACATTCCAATCCTTTTCCTACACTCAAATCAAAAAATTCCACACGTCATCATCATGTGTCTCACTCTTAATTTTACGCTTATTGTTAAACACATCCATTTCATGTGTGAATCTTATGCTATGAATCATGCCTGAACACTATGGATTTGAATTGTGACACACTTGGATTCTTTGTGCTTCATATGGTGATATCAATAGCTTTGCACATCATAGTTCAATATTCTACAATATTCTACTTTATCGAATTCTACTTTACCGACTATAAAAATGAATCGACAAATATATAAAAAAAAACTTCCAGAGGCCAGAGCTTTCACATATCTTTTTAATGGGTCTGATTTGGGATTCGATCATGGACTGTTGTGGGCAAGGTTGCAAAGACTCATTTCAGCTAAAATATTGTTTTTCGGAATAATAAAACCAAAAGATGGTATGATGGCATGTTTTACTTGTAACTTACAAGAAGAGGAGTGTGATTCAATGTGCAATACACTTGAATAGATAGTGAAAGATTTTCAACATTTCACAGTTTGAAACACTAAAAATTAACGTGTATAACACATTGAACCCAGATTAAATACACTTAAAGTAAATGTGATTGAGCATTTAAAAATCAAGTGTTTAAACGCTTCGATCAAACGTGTGGAATTGTTTGAGTGTACCCTTCCCATCACGTAAATGATGAGCATGGCTGTTGGATTGGAAGGCAAGGCACAGACATCATTTCGTTTATCATACGTCGTCGCCAGGAGAATCCTTCGTGGTCTATTTTCAAGTTTAAGAAAATGTTATGAATATTCCTCTATGTCAGTCGAAAGCTGAATAAAAACCCTTCAATTCGAGTCATCAAACATCTGAGTACGTAACGTCATTGATTATTTTGTTTAAAAGTATTAAAAGTTATTAAGTTGTGAGGCATTAAAATCGACATCACTAGCTGTATACCACTCTAGTACTGGTTTCAACTGGACGGTAAAACCCCTTTTGCAATCTCTCTTGCATGTGAATTATCGAAGTATATAATATAAAATGGTTTTTAAGGTCTATACGTTTAACTTTTAGGGTTCCACATTATGAGGTTCTTTGCAAATGTGTCAGTAAGCATGAATTTTTAACTGGAGGGGATATCCTTACAAGTAGTTGTCATGAAGAAAAATTTACCCGGAAGATGTTAATAACCCATTTTGACTTATTTTCCCCCATCCATCAAAATGCATCCTTCAAATATCGATAAAAATGTTCGTATACAACTCGAATTTAGGCTAATTGATATTGTTAGTTGTTAGATCTTTAGCAGTTGATTCCCGAGAAAATTGAAAATCCGATTAAGCTTCATCCGGAATAGTTCCATATTTGGAATGAAATATATACTGTTTTCAAAACAAGAATCAATTTGTGACGGTTTAAATGGTTGTCTCAAGAAATTTGTCTCTAAGATGATGAAATGGCTGCAATATGATTTCAGGATCTCGACTTAAAAGATTAAAGAAAATCAAATATGTATATTTCGACTGTGTGAAACAATTCCAAAATGTATTCCAATCATGGAGCATCCACTGCCTTTTCACGTTTGGGTAGAGAAGATTCAACTGTCTGTTCTCTTAGTTATATTTTGCTGGCTTAAGCGAGTGGTACTCCTAATAACTCTCATTTCTAACTTCAAACATTATTTCTAAAAGCTTTTCTGCACTCGTATTATTTGGCAAGTGTCTGCTAGCAGTATTACGTTGGGCAAAGTTTGATTTATTTTCGTGCTCATAAAATTCATGATACATACCCAACATACATCAACCCAGTTTGCAGTCCCGTTTAACTTGGCCTTCCTTTGTGAATCAGTAGTAAAATGGAGCAGCGGAATAAAGTGGTGAATGAAGTTGAAAAGTTTAGTTAAGTAACTGCCGGAGGGCCTTAACTACATCGCCATTGACGCCGACAGAGTGTTTCCTATGAAAACAGCTCTAGCCATCATTCTCCAGCTTTAACACCGATGAAAAGTGTGAAAGTGCAGTGTGCAGAAGAGGCAAGTTTTCCCGGATGGTGCAAATTTACAGCCTCAGTGAAACAACCGTCGCTTACAAGTGCTGCCCAGTGAAAATCGATCCACGTTGAATCGACACCACAAAACGTTGCTCCAAACCCGGACGTGGTATCTGTCACAGCTCGAGAGGGAATCCAAAACAGCATCACATTGGAATATCAGGAGCAGCAAAGTTGTGCGTGTCCGCACAACGACAACAAGTCTTCCTGTTTCAGGTAATGTTGTGTTGTATAAATATTTACATTTCTCTTGAAGAAAAACATCTTTATCAAATGCTTTTGGTAAATGTATACACAACGACACAAGGTTATGGGTGAGGAATATTAAATGATCCTGGGAAAAGTTTACTTTCTAAACAAAAGCATATAAATTTCTCTAGAATTCTCCATGCCAAGCGTCATTTGACCTAAACCGAGAAGAACTTGATGCTGCTGTGATACTCGGGGGATTATTTTCTACCAGAATCCAATCCTGGTTTTGTAACCACCGGCAAAGTGGTAGTGTAACCGAAAGAAGGAATAGGGACAAATCCATTAGACAATTAGCGTAAGCAGCATTCAACAGCAAAGGAGCAAGTGCAGTGCACAAAATACGGTTGGGTGTAATTCGGAGGTTGAAGCACATTCAACCATTTCTACGAGAGAAAAAAACCGTTTAATAGCGAAGTACTACGATAATTTGTTTCCTCTCACCAGCACGAGATTGAAGTTGATGTAAATTTTTCGCTATTCTCGACATCCTGCTTAAGAGCAGTCCAGAAAAAAAGAAGAAAGTGCTTTACAAATTTTCTCAGAATTTCAGCTCTGAATGAATAGGCGCAATTAACGTTGATGCACACAGATCGACGAGAAAAGAGCAGAGGTAAAAGAAACACGAGTGTCATTGAAAGAGTGCTGAAAAGTGGCTGTGTTCATGTGTCACTTGGGCGAAAGTTGCACTTTCTTCGAACAAAAACCAGATTTTGTCGTCATTCCAAGCATTTATCCTAGTGAAATGGTGATTTCTACCACTTGCACTAGTGGTGGCAAAAGTTCGTAAGAACTTGGTAGGTTTCAAAATATTTGCCGCTTTGGATGAAGTTTATTAGCATGGTTGTACTGCATCATGGTGTGGTATTTGGGTGAATAAATGTTTGCAACGAAACTGCTTCTTTGGTTTCACTTCAAGAAATGTTTGGTCAATCTTTTTTTTTTTAACAAAACCGGTTCCATAAAATACGATTTTGAAGACCGATAAAAGTTTTCAAATGAAACTGGTTTTGTAATAATCGATTGACATTTCACATTGTAATCGACCATAACACAATTTTAACACTAAAAAATTAACCACTTTGTTAACCCTAATAAAAATAACCATAAAAGTGAGCTTAACGACGTGTTCGGGGTATCATCCAAAGCATTTGTGGGATAGTTTACCCATCCGGGATACAGTTCGTTTATGGTATTTGTTTATTAGGGAAGCTTCGCATTCGTTTTCCATCAGATGCAACTACTGTTGTTAGCGGTGACATCTACCGGAAACTATGCATAATCTGTTTCCCGTTAATTGTTCACAAAAGACAGTGCAGTGCAAAACATAACTGGAACCTCTATACGTGCATTTAGATTAACATTCGAAGCCGTCCTTGTATATATATTACTAGCTGAGTGTGCCCGGCCTTGCTCGGGATTCAATATTAGCTTGAGTTTATCCGCCAATTAAAAAAAGCATGCTATATTGTACGTAGCTCCCCTTTTTATCTAAAGGGCTACCCCCTATGACCTCCACATGCCAAACTTGGTTCCATTTGCTTGATTAGTTTTCGAGTTTTGCAGAAATTTCTGTTTCATTTCTATGGGAGCCCCCCGCCCTCTTAAATAGGGGGAAGGGTTTCGAACCATCATAAGAACCTTTCCCTGCCCCAAAAACCCCTGCAAACAAATTTTCACGGTGATCGGTTCAGTAGTTTCCGAGTCTTTAAGGGTCAGACAGACAGACAGAAATTCATTTATATATATATATAGAAGAAGAAGAAGAAGAAGCGCGAAACTACTTTTTTAGTCCCGCCCCTAACAGGATTTCCCGCCATTTTGTATGAATGGAGTGGGGCAGAAAGTATCTTTAATGCAAAATATGTGAAAAAGAAAGGGACTTCGGATGTTAATCTAAATGCATATATAGAGATACCAGACATATTTTGCAGTGTAAGGTACTCTATTTTGAAGTCTGTGAGAGGGACTGTCATTAGAATTCATGGAATGTTGATCGTGACGGATCGATCTTATATTTGGCTCTAGAATCGATCCACTGATTAAATCAGTACCAAAGAATCGATCTTTGGTAGATCAGTCTTTTGATTTTTATTTTAATATGCTTGTTTACGTTGGTACCCCCAAGATATTGTTTTCTTTATAATATTCATTTAAATGTTTTCGTGACGGTAAGGAGCAATGAGCACAGGAGGGAGGTAGCCCAAACCTTCAAATGTTTCTGTATTCGTAAATATCGGAAACGCAAATAGTTACGTTATTGTAGAGAGCGATGCTGATGTTGATATTAAGTTCCTTAAATTTACAACGCAGTCTGTGGTGAGAGAAAATCGTTTTTTCGATGTGAATACACTTTATTAAAGATCGAAAAATCGAAAAAAGAGATCGATTTTTTCAATCTTCTCGTGGACAAGGAATCGATCCGAAGAATTGAAAATCGGGATGAAAAAGATCGATCTTCCAAAGATCGATCCAAGGTCGCCCAATCCTATTCGGTAGCTCGTTCGACGTACACGTATCATGTTTGAGCTACGGTCGTTAACTGGGTCCCAGTAGAGTCGGTGTATAATGAGTCACGCCAAGAGTGAAGCCAAGTCTACCTATTGAACTGTCAAACCGGCTACCTATCGTGCAAAGTAAACAAGCATTACGATGCTATGAAAGGTCCACGAAAGGTATTGCAATTAAATATAAAATATAACCGAAGAAATGATCATATACACGCAGTGAGCATTACATATTTTATGCGATACGTTTTGTAATGATCAGTAATGACAATTTCTACTATTTTTCTTTAAGATAATCCGACAAAATCACTGATTATAATGATTTACTACAGCCGTTAATTTTTTTCCTCGCTAGAAGTCATTTGAAGTTGATGCAGAAGCCCTCTGTTGCCAAGTTAAAAGAAAGGGAATCTTTTGAAAACCGTGATGCGAGTTCAACTGTTTTTCTCTTGGCGTGACTCATTATACACCGACTCTAGGTCCCAGGTTGTTAATAATCAAAAAGTTTCCAAATGATGCCATTTTTCGTGATCTTAAACATCTCGGTGTGAAAAGAGGATACTATGTATTATACCGTGAAAAGATTCATCGATACAGGATCTATTGAAAATCACAAGAAATCTGGAAGAAAATGATGCGTCAGAACTCCATGGGTTGTTAAGGTAATTCGGGAGCAAATTCGTCGTGGCTGTGACCGATCCGCAAGAAAAATGGCAGCTGAGCTGAATATTTACCGTGAATCTTTCCGGCGAATTTTGAAGAAGGACCTGGATATAAAAGCATTTAAAAAAAGAAAAATTCACGGATTGACGGAAGGATCAAAACAAAAACGAGTGGATAGAAGCAAACTGCTGCTTTCTCGGCACGAAATTATATTTTCGAACGAGAAGTTGTTTGTTCTTGGAGCTCCGCAATTATATTCCAGTACACAAAAGAAATGTGCCACGATACCAAAATTCATCATCCTCCATGGTATAGGGCGCTGTTTTAAGAAAGGGAAAGCTTCCTTTGGTGTTTATCGACAAAGGTGTAAAAGGTGTGGAAGAGGTTTTGCAGAAGAACCTGATGCCTACTGTTCGTGAAATGTACGGTACAGAATATTATTACTTCCAACAGGATGGCGCTCCAGCTCACACTGCAAAACTTGTTCACCCGAGCAGGAACGAATATCTCAATACCTTAAATTGGTATGGATGAGCCTGACATAAGAAGTAAAATAACAAAAAATAATACAAAAAAAAATTCCCACAATACCATTCCAATACCAAATTATGATAATGCAACACCAAAACAATACCACACAGGTATTCTTTTGGTATCCAAATATCAATTGTTGTTATTTACAAAATATTTTGCATGCAATTTTTTGGGATTATTCTTCGGCATTTTACCTCTAATGTCATGCAAACACCAAATTTTTGTATTAGATCAGAATTAGGTATTCATTAGTTATTTTCTCCTGCTCGGGCAGAGGTGGTGTAAAGAATATTTAACGGATTCCATCTCGAAGAACAAATGGCCCCCAAGTTTTTTTTTCCGATTTGAACCCATTAGATTTCTGTATCTGGGGGTACATGGAACAGAAGCTTAAGGATCATTCCTATCGCAATTTGGATGAATTTGAAGCAGTGATTAAGCTATGGGACGATAGACGTAGAGCGTGCCGCTTGTGACGTTTTCGTTAAGTGGTTGAAGCTCATTGTCCGTGCAAAAGGTGATTCAATTTAGTGACAGTTTTTGATTTACATTCTACATACAATGATAAATGAAATCTGAAAACTAAATCCGAAATAAAGTTTCTACTAACGAAAACATATGTCAGTTTGTTTTTGTTGGAATACATATGTGTCACACTGTTATGTGTTACTAAAATTCGACGAGATTTACTTTTTATATTTATACAAAAAAAAATCGCATTTTTTTAACTTCTCGCCTGTAGTTAGGTTAGGGGAGGTTCATATTTTGGTCACCGTATTGGCGTCTTAAGATTTTAAAATATTATTTCTTTGTATTTCATTAGAAAAATCTCAACTAATTTCATTCCTACGTTTTGCTTTCCAAGATTGTATAAAATTGAAAATCGGATGAAAAATGATTGAGTTACTCTTGATATTATTTACTTAATTAAAATTGTTTTTTATCTTTTAATGTTGGGGGTGTTAGAACAATTTCAAATGTGATTTCAAAGTATATTGGACTAGACTAATATCTTACAATAGGTCACTTTAAATGATTTTTGTAGTCTTACACCGTATGTATTTTATTTATATTTTTGTATTTATAAGTGAAATAGAAATCATTGACCCATAATTTTCATGCAGTCGCATTCAAGATGCCACATCTTTTTGTGACATAAATGTGTTACTTGGGAGAGATTGCGAGTATTTTTGGTTCAGTGCTGGCTACCACAGTGAAATCGTCTGAGTCTAACTCATCAGGAAGTAAACGTAACGATTCATG